TTATCTTGAGGTAATGAGTTGCTGGGCCTGAGGGCTCAGGACCACAGTCTCAGGGAACATCAAGGTCAATTTTCATAACAGTCACAAAGATAGTTTTCTACATCCTATTTTCCTACTTTGGTAAGTAGTGACTGGGATCTTAAAAGCTTGAGAGTGACCATCTAAGGTGCAATTAGTGGCCTCTCCTTGTCCAGAGCAAAGGAGAATGAAGAAAATAATAAATCAAAGACACATGGAAACAATGACTCCAAAGGATTAATGAACCATGCAAACCTCAGCCTCCATGACCCTGAGACCAGAACTGCATGGTGCCCAGCTACCAATGCCTATCGCTGTGAAGGGATGACAACAAAAGGCCCTGGATAGAGTGGGAGAAAAACGTGGAACAAAACTGAAAATAATGAAAAGAAACGGGGCTTACTGGTCTGATAGAGACTTGTGGAACCCCTGACTATGGCCCTTATATACCCTTCAAATGACTGGAACTGAACTCACCACTGTGACTCAACTTTCAGCCAAACAATAGATAGGCCTAATGGTGAACGATAGCATCAGGGATATAGAAACTCCCTAGAACAACCAACTATAGGAGATCAAAAGGGCAGCATTTGCCCAGGGAATGAGGCAGGAGGCAGGAAGGAACAGAAAAGAAGGACAAATGGAAACAGTAAAAACAGGATGGAAGTAGGAAGAGAACTGTTAAGCTGTGGGGAATTGTAACCAATATCACAAATCAAAATATGTATAAATTGTTGAATGGAAAACCAATTTGCTCTGTAAACTTTCACCCAAATCACAATAAAAATAAAAAAAAAAAAAAAAAAGAAAAAGAAAGAGAGAAAGAAAAAGGAAAATAACAAGTATTGGTGAGGATGTAGAAAAATTGGAACTTCTCTACATTATTGGTTGGGCGTGGGACAGTGCCCAAGGCAGGAGGATACAGTGGCAGGCAGGCTGGTGGCCAGAACACGTAAGAAAGGCAGGGGATAGCCCCAAGGCGGCAGGGAGCAGTGGCAGACAGGGCCAGCAGGAACAGGTAGGGGAAGCCCAGGGAGTAAGTGGAGTGGTTGGAACAGCTAAGGGAGATGAACTTGTCTGTCAGTTTGTCTTACTGTGGTGGCTTGGATGTTGCTGTGAGGATGGAGGCTGTACCAACAGGGGTGCTCATGGTGGACTGGTTTTGATGGAGGTTTCAGACTGAGACAGACTGAGAAGAAGGAAGAGGCCATGCACTGCTCAAAGAACTGGCCAGAGAAAACCTTTTGAATAGTAGTGAAACCTGATATAATACTGGAAAATTTTATGAATAAGCCTAAACCATTGTCCGATATAGTGCCCAAGATGAGCCCCTCAGGGCAGAAGGCACTCAAAATATTACTGGAAAAGAACTGCCTCATCAGAGTAGAGCCTACTTTAATGATATAGATAAAGTAGAGCTTTCTAGGCCTCCATTTGCTGAAGTGGCACAACTCAATATGAGAAGAAACAGCTGCAAACATCCATTGATAATTGGAAAATGAAATGTATGAAGTATGAATCTAGGAAAATTGGAAGTAGTCAAAATTAAATGGAATGCATAAAGACTGATATCGTAGGTGTTAGTGAACTGAAATGGACTGGTTTTGGCCATTTTGAATCAGATAACCATATGATCTACATGCTGGGAATGATAAATTGAAAGGGAGTGGTGTGGCATTCATCATCACAAAGAATGTTTCAAGATCTATCCCGAAGTACAATGCTGTCAGTGATAGAATAATATCCATATGCCTACAAAGAAAGCCAGTTAACACTACTATTATTCAAATTTATGCACCAACCACCAAAGCGAAAGATGAGGAAATTGAAGATTTTTACCAACTTTTGCAGTCTGAGATTGACCAAACATGCAATCAAGATGTGCTGATTATCACTGGGAACTGGAATGCAAAAGTTGGAAACAAAGAAGAATCACTGGTAGTTGGAAAATTTGGCTTTGGAGATAGAAATAATGCTGGAGTGCATGACAGAATTTTGCAAGACCAATGACTTATTCATTGCAAATACCTTTTTCAACAACACAAACGGTGGCTAAACATGTGGACTTTGCCAGACAGAGTACACAGGAATCAGACTGACTACATCTGTGGCAAGAGGTGATGGAAAAGCTCAATATCTTCAGCCAAAACCAGGCAAGGAACTGATTGTAGAATAGACCATCAACTGCTCATTTGCAAGTTCAAGCTGAAGTTGAAGACAACTAAAACAATTCCATGCAAGCCAAAATACGACCTTGATTGCATCCCTCCTGGATTTAGAGACCATTTAAAGAATAGATTTCATGCATGAAACACCAATGACCAAAAACCAGAGCAATTGTGGGATGACATCAAGAACATCATCCATGAAGAAAGCAAGAGGTCATTAAAAAGACAGGAAAGAAGAAAAGGCCAAAATGGAAGTCAGACGAGACTCTGAAACTTGCTCTTAAAAGGAGAGTAGCTAAAACAAATGGAAGAAATGACAAGATAAAAGAGCTAAACAGAAGATGTCAAAGAGCAGTTTGAGAAGACAAAGTCAATTATTATAATGAAATGTACAAAGACGTGGAGATGGTAATCCAAAAGGAAAGAACATGCTCGGCATTTCTCAAGCTGAGAGAACTGAATTTAAGCCCTGAGTGTGATATTGAAAAATTCTGTGGACAATACATTGCATGATGCAAGAAACATCAAAAGAAGGTGGAAGGAATACATTGAGTCACTGTACCAAAAAGAACTGGCTAATGTTTATCCATTTCAGGAGATAGCATATGATCAAGAACCAATGGTATTGAAGGAAGAAGTCGAAGTTGCACTGACAGAAGTGGCAAGAAACAGGGCTCCAGGAATTGATGGGATACCCACTGAGATGTTTCAACAAACAGATGCTGCACTAGAGGCACTCACTCGGCTATGCCAGGAGATTTGGAAGACAACTACCTGGCCAACTGACTAGATCTATATTGGTACCCATTCCAAAGAAAGGTGACCCTACAGAATGTGGAAATTATCAAGCAATATCATTAATATTTCACGCAAGTAAAGTCTTACTGAAGATAATTCAAAAATGATTGCAGCAGTATATTGAGAGAGAAATTCCACAAACGTAAGCTGGATTCAGAAGAGGACATGGAATGAGGGATATCACTGCTGATGTCATATGGATCTTGGCTCAAAGTAAAGAATACTAGAAAGATGTTTACTTGTATTTTATTGACTATGCAAAAGCATTCGATTGTGTGGATCATAACAAATTATGAATAACATTGAGAATAGTGGGAACTCCAGAACACTTAATTGTGCTCACAAGGAACTTGTACATACACTAGAAGGCTATCGTTCAAACAGAGCAAGGGGACACTGCATGGTTTAAAATCAAGAAGGGATTGCATCAGGGCTATATCCTTTCACCGTATTTATTCAATCTGTATGCTGAACAAATTATCCGAGAAGCTGGACTATATAAAGAAGAACATGGTATCAGGATTGGAGGAAGACTCATTGACAACCTGCATTATGCAGACAACACAACTTTGCTCACTGAAAGTAAGGATAACTTGAAACACTTACTGATGAAGATTGAAGACTACAGTCTGCAATCTCAATATAAAGAAAACAAAAATCCTCACAACCGGATCAATAAGCAGCATCATGATAAATGGAGAAAAGACTGAAATTGTCAAAGACTTCATATTACTTGGTTCTGCAATCAACACCAATGGAAGCAGCAGTCAAGACACCAGATGTCATATAGCATTGGGCAAATCTTCTGCAAAAGACCTCTTTCAAGTGCTGAAGAGCAAAGATGTTTCCTTGAAGACTAAGGTATGCTTGACACAAGCCAGGGTATTTTCAATCGCCTCATATGCCTGTGAAAGCTGGACAATGAAAAAGGAAGACCGAAGAAGAGTCGATGCTTTTGAATTGTGGTGTTGGTGGAGAATGCTGAAAATACCATGGACTGCTAAAAGGACTAACAAATTCATCCTGGAAGCAGTGCAGCTGAATGCTCCTTCGAAGAGAGAATGGCCAAACTTCGTCTTACCTACTTTGGTCATGTTGTAAGAAGGGACCATTCTCTGGAGAAGGATATCATGCTTGGTAAAGTGGAGGGACAACAGAAAAGGGGAAGGCCCTCAATGAGATGGACTGACACAGTGGCTACAATGACAGTGGCTACAATGATGGGATCAGGTATAGCAAGGATCGTGGGGCTAGCACAGGACCGGGCAGTGTTTCATTTTGCCATATGTGAGGTTGCTATGAGCAGGAGACGACTCGATAGCACCTAATAACAACAACACTACAACACATTGTCGGTGGAAATGCCAAACGATGTAGCTGCTATGGAAAAAAGTTTGGCAGCCCCTAAAAAAGTTAAATATAGAATTACCATATGACTTAGCAATTCTACTCCTAGGTATATACCCCAAAGAATTGGGAAGGTACTCAGACAAATACTTGCACACAATTGTTCACAGCAGCATAATTCACAATGGCTAAAAGGTAGAAACAACTCAAAGGACTATCACCAGATAAACAAGCGTAGATAAACAGATAAACAAAATGCAGCATATTCAGACAATGAAATATTATTAAATCATAAAATAGAATGCAGTACTATTATATACTACAACATGGATTAATCTTGAAAACATTATGCCATGTAAAAGAAACTAGACTTAAAAGATCACACATTTTATAGTTTCATTTATATGAAATAATTAGAAAAAGCAAATTCATAGTGACGGAAAGCAGATTAGTGGTTTCTCCCTAAAAACGGGGAGTGAGTACTTAGTAGGTACAGGGTTTCCTTTCAGGATAATGAAATTGTTCTGGCACTAGACAGAGGTTGTGGTTGCACGACACTATGAATATACTATATGCTACTAAATAATACTGTTTTAAATGTTAAGATATTGAATCTTATGTTATATGATTTTACCTTAACTAAAAAATTCTACCCTCCACCACTCTTACCTGGCAGTTAATGTCAGCTCTACATTGTAGCAAGACTGTAACTAGTTCCTTATGTCCTCGATCACATGCCCAATGGAGTAGAGCTCTACCCTAAAGACACAAAAAAGATAAATGAATTTGTTAATTCAGCCACATGAAAGATACAGTATTTTAAGTAGGAGAAAGTAATATGAAAAAATGTAGGTTAATTAGTCAACGAATGACTGATATAAAAATGCACTTTAGGAAAATAATGGATAATCATTTGGAAGTCCTGAGTTCTAATTTTAGATTCATTATATACTAGCCTACTAGCTCTGTCTACTTTAACTACAGAGTAGAGATCATGATAATAATGACAATAACCCTAGCAATATTTTTTGAACAAACAAACTGCAAGATAATGTTGTCTAAATTATAAACTACTTCTTAAATGTAAAAGATATTTTCTTAAATTATTTTGTTTACTTTTCCTAGTGAAAGAAATCGTAAGGCTGAAAAAGAAAACAGTACTAAAAACTTGGAAGAGATCATGATCTAAATGTACTATATCTATATTTACTCAGTTTTATTCCTTAAAATGGAAGAATATTTAGCCAGTTTAAAAATAAACATTTCACCTTAGTATCTCCAATTTCCTATCTGAAATGTCTGAAAAACACTAGTACAATCTATTAGTGTCTACCTTTAAACAACTGAGTGTGAAAGCCATTTGTAAAACAGAATAGATAGTTAACTGTTAGGAGACACATTATTAAATATGAAACATTAATTTAACTCTTATCTACAAAAGATACACAGTTACCATTACTGTTAACTCTATTCTCTACTGTCAAAAAATCTTGGCTTAGTTAATGAAAGAAGCCTACTTGGTTGAAAGAATACACAAAATCCCCAAAGCTAAGGGCTTTTCTGAAGAAATGAATGATGTATGGCTTAGCACTACTTTTTGAGGATGTTAATGATGTTGTCTTGTTTAAAGAATGGAATGTTTTTCCACATTAAATTGAAATCTCTGCTTTATGTCATTTCAGAAAAGATTAAGTAGCTATAAGCTGGGATAAGGACGGCTTTAAAGTAAAAAGTACCTTTCAAGAAAGCTTTTCTTAATCCACCTACACTCTTTTTCATTCACACTTTCTTCACACACCCGTTAGTTCAACTAATTAAATCAGAATCTATTCTTGAAACAAAGAAACAGAGTAGGACTTCTTTCCTACAAATCGTCCTTTTTTTTTCTTTCATTTGCTTGATTTATTTACCTGTGAAAATCTGCTTTCCAATAGAGTTAGCACAAAATCTTGATAGTGAAATAGAAAATTAAAAAATGTGGGCAAATCATTCACCATTTGTTGTGGCAGAAAAACTATTTTTTATACCTTGTTCAAAGTGCACTAGTGATCTTTTAAAATTGGGACAATTCTAAAAGCCCAGTAAAAAAAAAAAATGTTATTATTGAATAATAAAGCAGATTCCCATGTTAAAATTTCTATAGCTCTAGTTGAGTACTGACCTGTA